AGAAATATTGCTCTGCTTTCTCAGTTTCATTCCTCGGGTCCCATCTATGATCTCCCAGTACACAAATCCTGCACACTTCATCTTGAATTAAATGTTTACTGCGGAGATAGCTGGTTTTCCATCCTTGCATATATCCTGTTATCCTCAGAGCTTTTATCCAACCGTGAAATACAGGATCCACTAGTAGCCCTGCTACACCCCTCCCCGCCCTGGCCGCCAAAGCTGCAAGAGCAAGAGGAGGTTCATCACCATCTAGGAGTTCTTCCTGGACTTCTTCCGAGTTTGTAGAAAATTCCTTCAAAAATGAGTCTGGAAAACACTCTTGCTGAACATTATCCGCTGTCTTCTTGTCCAGTTTGAATTCCTTGTACGAAGTTATGGGCATCTCCTTTTTGTCCTTCTTCATCCAAGGCAATCCTTCAATCCAGCACGATCCTTTGGAAACTGTTTCTATCCCTATATCGTGCTCCTTTGTCAGTAAATCCGCCAAATTCTGAGACCCATCTATGTGAAATAAAACTTCCTCCATTGTTCCAGTAGTCCATTCTAACAATCGTAAGATTGTCATGACTCTATTGTACACAAATAACCTCAACTTGATGGTTTCGCTACTGCACCAACTCAGGGCAATTGTTGAATCAGTTAAGTAAATCACCTCTTCTACCTCTGATCCCAAGGAAGATTTAACCATAAAAGCCAATTCTGTGCACAGTAGTATCGCTGATAACTCGTTCCTGGGGATGGTTTCCTTCATCAGCTTTGATTTAGCGGCTAGGAGAGAGCACGACCACATGCCTGGGCTGGTTTCCACCCTTTCAATGAACTTGTTTGCAGCTTCATTTGGAGTTTGCAGCTTCATTTGGAGTTTTATTGGCTCAAAAAAACCACAAGGATCAAATAACTCTGATATTTTTCCAACTATCAGGCTCCTGGTTAATTTGACTCCACTCAGTAACTTCTCTGCATCTAATCTGGTCTTGACTGGTTCTAGGTTTGGTTTACGTTCTCCTCTAAGTTTCTTGTTCAAATTCAGTTCTCCTATCCCTGGTGATAGCTCATCCTTCTCCGGGTCCCACTTATATCCTAGTAGTTTCATGGTTTCTCCATCCGTGCTTGCTTTCTCAGATGGTTTTTCTCCGCTCCTTGCGATAAATTTTAAAGAAAAACCTCCTCTCTTCAGAACTTCCTGCACTGCTTCAATCTGTTCTTCCCTTCTCTGCTTGGAATCCTCTCCAGATAGAATATCATCCACGTACCTATCCTCTCTCAAGCTCTTATAGGCTCCTGGATATTTCTCTGCTAGCATCTCCGTCAGTTTATCCAGCGCAAAACCTGCTTGACCTCCAGTACTAACTATACCGTACCATGCTCGGACCATGACCCAGACCTCTGGTTCCTTTTCCTTATCCAATTCTTCCCTGTACAGGAATAAGGAGAATGGTAGTGATGGATCATCCATGTACAGTTGATTGTACAGCTTGCTGATATCTGAGCTCCAGATAAATTCTGTACATCTACACCTTACCATTATGAAAATCAGGCCAATTCTGTTCTCTCCTTTTGCCAATATCTTGTTCATCCTGGTCATGGAGGGGTCGACCACCATCCTCACAGGCGTTGTAACTGAGTCCATCTTCATCACCAACCTCCAAGGATTGAAGTGTTTGAACTCAGCATTCATTATTAACCCTTTCTTGTCCTCAGGCATGTCATCCAGCTTGATCATGAAACCCTTCTCCACCAGATCCTTGTGCACCTTCCTCATTCCATCCTTGACAATCTCTGATTTTCTACACTGAGTTTTGTAGACCTTCAACGCTTGACTGTAGTNTTAATACACAAATTCCACTGGATGTACTATTCAGTTTATAAATTCTACCGTGGGGGGGGGGGGGGGGGGGAGGGGGGGTCCAAAAATCATTCTCTAGGAATATACCAAAAAGGCTTTTAAAGGGACTGTACAAGTAAATTTTTTTATACCTTTCTCCGATTAATTTCTTATGAAGTCTGTATATCTCTGTGGATGGAACTAGACTGCTTACTGATGGGGCTGGCAGCCTGGCTGTGGAAGGTAGAATACTAGAAAACCGGTATATGGCATCTTGGAAACCGGACTGGGATATTCAAATTAACGCGGTCTCAACATGCCCCGTAAATTTTATAATTATTAGATTTGGTCGTCTTCGACTTGTATAAATTTTAATTAGATAATAAGGTAATGTAAATATAAAAGTATGTTTATAACGTTAAAATATCAATTGCTTGGTATTGGTTGATAGATTATTTATCTATACTGTTTAATTTAATTTAAATTTTGCACAAACTATGCGAAAACGACCAAAACTTATTGCGCTTTATGCACAAAAGATAAGTGAAAATTGCACACATGTTTTCATAATAAGAATTCTTTTCATAATAAGAAATAATTTATAATAATAAATGTTTTTATATTAAACAATGTTTTCATAACAAGAAATGATTCATAATAAGGAATGTTAATATAATAAGAGATCTTCTCATACACGCACCTTTTAGTAAACTATATGAAGCATAAAGTCTGACCGCGTCAACCTTGTTGCACCAGCTAGTCCAGTCCATAGAGCTAGGTACAGTACAAACTGGGACTGGAAAGGTTGACCCGGCTCGGATATTCAAATGTACTACGGCTACCCGTGCATATAAATCTTTTTATAAAAAGAAATTTTTTCACTAAAAGAAATATTATAATGAGTTATGTTTTCGTAATAAGAAATTTTTTATACAAAATTTTTTTTTCATAATAAGATTTTTTTTATTAAAAGAAAGGTTTTCTTCATAATATATATTTTCAGAAGATATTTTCTTCACAAAAAATGTTTTCATAATTTGAAATGTTTTCAAAATTAAACATGTTTTCATAACAAGAAACGTTTTCATAATAAGAAATGTTTTTTAAATTAAAAACGTTCCCAAAATAAGACATGATATATGACAGAACTGTTTTCATAATAAGAAAGATTTCATGAAATAATATGTTTTTATGGCAAAAATGTTTTTATAATAAGAAATACAATAGGCGATTATATGTATACAAAGAGGAAAACTTTTTTTATGTTTTGATTGTTACAAGATTTTTCGAATTACAAGTTTACAAGTAAATAAAAAGAGGCTTTATTAATTGACAGCTTCTCTAGACTTCTATGTTTATGTGTATCCATGATGTTAAACAGCTGTTTCGCTACTTAGCGATTTCCCTAAAGACCTAATGTATATAC